TGTGTGTGTGTGTGTGTGTGTGTGTGTGTGTGTACCAAAGAACTCAAGAGCACTCTGGTAGGGTCACACTTGGCAGAAAGGTTGAGGGAGAAGGATCATGCAAAGTGTAACTCAAGCAAGTAAGACCTCAACAGCGCAGCAGACGAAGGATGGTGTCCAGCAAACAGCCAGACTGCCACAATAGCTGTAAAGGTGCAGGAAGACAGCAGCAGTGGGGGACCTCAAACTGTCATAGAGTCCATAGTATTGGTCACAAATATGTCTCTGCCAAAAATCATGTTGTAGCTATCCGTGCACCAGTCCCCCTATAATATAATTTAATATTTGTTCCAAATTTGAGAAAATTCCCTCAAGGCATTGCTGATACACATGACAGATTGGCCTGGCAGGTGAACAGGGGAGGGCTAAAAGGCGTGACAAATGACATCAGCAAGGCAGCTAGCATTACCCCAACATCTGGGCTCCCTGGCCCTCCCAGCAGAGGAGTGTAAAGGCCACTCATCAGCCTCCATGCTACATGAAGTGATACCAATGTCAACAGCACTGACCCCGCCCCACCCACCTCCATCTTCAGAGGAAATGTCAACATCAGACAGGATGGACAGCTGGAGAGAATGTGTGTGTGTCTGTGTGTGTATGTCTTCATGTCTGTATGCCACCTACGCATATTGCAAGGAATGTTCAAAGTCGCTTCTCTTTTCATTTTCAAAACGGGTGTCTTGCGGTAAATCTGCCTCTGTTTTAGCGTCAATACATCTGGGAATCCCTGGAGCCCATGTTTGCCATCTAACACAGAAAAAACACATTATATTATTATACAATTATTAATACACAGAACCTTTGAAAACATTAATTATTTGTGTTTTTGTTGTTGTCTTGTGAGACCTGTAAATCTTCTGTCTTTCCTGCAGCTCTGTCTTCCTATGTGCCAGCAGCTGAGCTATGGAGTCATCCCTCAGTGTCTTAGCTGTGGAGACAAGAAAATGCACTTTAACCTACAGTTCAGGCATACAGGGACTCATCCTCGCTGTCTCAAGTTGTTAGTGGGGTAAATTAGGTGGGGGTGTGGGTATCTTCTTATAAATTTCTGATGGAAAGCAACCATAGTAACCCAAACATTCCAGCTGTTTTGAGTGAAGATACAGGGCCCATTTACACCAGATGTTAACATATAAACTCTATCTAGATCAGACGTGCAACTTGTGGCCCGTGGACCACATGTGGACCCCATCCTCCCTCATTGCAGCCTGCGAGTCAATTTCCAAATATCAATAAATTGTTGGTTACAGTGAAAGCAAACTTGAGCTCACTAAAGCAAAGAAGCCCTTGTCAGATTGAGTATTGGTGAAGCAATGTGCAGTGGAGATGGCTAAAGGTTTTGGAGATGATAAAATCACTAAAAACCTAGAAACTGTTTCTCTGTCCTATCACAAAGTAACAAGGAGAATTTTTGACATTAAAAATCAGGTGGAGGGTGTGATGGAATTTTCATAGACACTGTCTCTTGTCCTCTCTGGGGCATAGTGCAACAGGCTGTTGTGTTTGGGAAGGGCAAGAGCTTGGCGAAGGTCAAAGGCTTCATTCCCTAGACATCACAGATATGAGACTGCATGAGCAGGCACTACTGTCTCCATAACTAGAATGAGCACACCCATAGATTTAATGATCTGTAGGGGTTTAAAGTGTGACTGCAGGAAAGCAGACTTCAGAATACGACAGAGCATTATGCACAGATGTGTGGATGAAATCAGATTTTCTCCTTGGCCAAGCTTCAATAAATATTTCAGCTTAAGACATCAAAGGGCTCCTGAACGCTTTCTTCATTGATGAGTTGACCATGGATCAGCAGATTTTCCACAACAGAGGGGAAGCAAGTCATGCAAGACTGCAAGTACTTCTCCTTAGCATTGGATGAGAGTACAGATGTGATGGATGTTAGCCAGCTACTCATATTCACAAGAGGTATTGAGGGTTCATTTGAAGTGTAGAGTTATTAATATTGGTCGACAAGCTTTCAGCTGTTGTTACCGATGGCGCACCAGCGATGTAGGGGGGGGCAAACTGGGGGCAAAACTAGCCTTGTTCAAAGAAGGCTTTTCATCGGTACGTCCAACTTTGGCACACTGTTCCGCCTGTGAAGGATGCGCAAATATGTCCCTTAAAGTGAGAAAACAATTCACAGGTACAGACTACAGAGCCACTGCAGCAGCAGTTAAAGGCATCCAATATTTCTATGCCATGCAGCCATGGATAGCGTTATTCATGGACCCTGTGTCTGCTGCTGTCAGCAAGACACCCCCAGAATTGCAACTTGAACTGTGCGAACTTCAGGCAGACCCATTTTTTCAAGCAAAGCGCAATGAAAGGGTACGCTCATTGTGGAGGCTTATACCAGAGGCCTGCTTTCCACTCCTCAGAGATTTTTGCACTTTGAATGACCAGCATTATGTGAAAATTGGAGGAAAGATAATTAAAAAAAAGCGCAAAAATATAATCTAATTATTTTTTTAAATCATTATCATAAAATATAATCTAATTTTTTTTTTATCATTATCATAAAATATAATCTAATTATATTTTTTAATCATTATTACAAAATATAGTTTATAATAATATATCATATCAAAATGTTATTTGCCTACTTGTGTGAGTCTGGCTTTTCTACTTTAAAGGTATTCTTATCGTCAACAGTTTGTTGAAAAGTTTGTTATTCAGTGGGAATATAATACAKTGTTGAAAACATGTTAGTTAATAATRTTMTTATGCHAAACRMATGTAATAATTATYGAATAGTGAATAAAAGTAAGAAAAAACATTCTAAAAGTTGATGTTTCTTTACATATTTTGTAGCATTGTCTAGGGGTTTGCAAAGGGGGTCCCCGGCCAGAAGCTAATGCTGTTTGGGGGGCCATGGCATGGAAAAGTTTGGGAACCCCTGATGTAGATGACACCCAACTGTAATTATCTATGAAGCCAGATGAATCTAATCACTTAATCAGAAAGAAATTAAGGCCTTGATGACCCATAACCTTTTACTTCTTTAATTCATACAAAATTGAATTCATTATATCTGGCTCGAAACATCTCAGAGAAACATTGTCTGACCAGATAGTCACCTTGGATGGAATTAGCTTGGCTCCCAGTTCTCCTGTGAGGAACCTTGGAGTTATGTTTGACCAGGACATGTCATTATATATATTTATATTCATTTTTGCAACTGTCACACCCACTTGCTTACAGTAAGACCTGCGCAGGATATCAGGCTGTGTTATCAAATTGGTTCCTTTGGACATTTTACAAAACAGCTGGACGGAGAAGCTGCAGAGAAAGTCACTCTCAAATTTGCGTTCACACAAGCACAGAAAATGTCCAGAGTTCAATGCATGCAGCTTTTCTCTCTCTCCTCTTACCTCTCCTCTCTTCCCCATTTTTCTCCTCTCATCCAACTGATAAAGGCAGATGGTCACCCACATCGAGTCTGGTTCTGCTAGAAGTTTTTTCCATGTAAAAGGGAGTTTTTTCTCTCCACGGTCACCAAAGCACTTGCTTCATTGACCTACTCAAAGAAAATCAATCTCCCCACCATTTAAGGGAACATCATCTTCCATGGTCAGACATCTCATCAAGGGCAGTTCACCAGCAAGTAAAATGGAGTAATCCTGCTCCTATTCAATTAAATTTTATTTGTATCATGCCAAATTATAATATACATTATCTCAAGGCACAAGACCAGGGACAGTTGTGTTCAATCAGGTTCCAGCTTGCTATTTGTTATAGTGAAAACAATAAGAGTGATAATTATGGATGTAAAGATGTTTTTAATAATAGCAGTAACACCTCTACTCATAAGGGCTTTGTGTTTACCCTGCTCAAGATGACAACTATCAAACCATTTTATCTAAGCTATTGAAGGGATGGTTTTAGAAATTCTTCCAATGGATCACCATCTTTGACCTAAATCATTTGGGCTTCAGGATTGGTCACTCCAATAAAATAGCTCTCTGTGACAGAAGATGCGTCACAGTTCGTAACAAAACCTCTGTAAAATTTAACTCTTAGTCATGTCAGCCAATTAATCTGTCAACATGGTTACAACAAATCTGGGTGACACTTCTCTATCTGCTAAAAAATGGTAGACTTTAGACTTCATATGCTTTGTCTCAGCCACTGTTTTTCGAAAGAATGTTGTTTAATGTAGTCATCGATGGACTGTTCTTGTTTGTGGTGCCCCAATGGTGCAACTAGTGACCAAATGCTATCAGAGCAGGGGCGCCCCTTGATATCTTAAAGGTACAGTGTGTAGAATTTTGTGATATCTAGTATTGAAATTTCATGTCACACCCCTCACCTCTCCTTCCCCTTCCAAACATGAAAAAGAACCTGTGGTAGTCTTTGGTTGTGCACTCATCTTAGTGAACAGATTTTTTTACTTAGTACTTATCTCAAGGTCTTTCACAGTACTTAAGCTGCAGTGTTTGCCATCAGTGGTAAGTAGCCTGGACAAATGAATAAGTTTAAGAAAATAGTACTAGATGGTGACTATCAATTGTACGTTTTAAGGTCTTCTGCACAATTTAAGTTACCAACTAACAGTGAATGTAAGCAGGTGTTAGCGGCTGCCAGCGGATGTTATAGAAATAACCTCAGTTGTCACTGTTTTGGCCTTGTAATCAACAATACAGGCTGAACTTGAGGGTACGCTGAGGCTAAAGGTAAATCTGACTGGCTACTGGCTTGTATGGCCTTATTATGAAAGCCATGTAGCCCGCTGAGTAGATCGGACACTATTACATCTATGCCTTTATAAACTAAACAATGTCCCATTTTAAAACACAGGACAAGAGAATATCCCTTGTATGTTCTACCGCACAACCTGATGGTGGGCATTACCCCTGCAGCTAGCCTCCACAGGGCAAACTATTGCTTTCCAGTAAATGCAGTGTAAATGCAAATTTAGTTTTTTATTCATCTTGATACAGATTGGATGTTAATACCAGGAGCATACAGACTAATGCAAAAAAATTAGCTTGAGTAATGAAGCTCAGGACTTCCTTGGTATCAATATAAATATCTGAGAAATATCTGAGCAGTGGTATTATATTAAAAATCAGAATTCAGATAGAAAAATGTCCTCATGCAAAGAT